TGAACTCAAGCACAGGTCAGGGAGAAACCAATGCAGGGTTCCCAGGGTGGCATTTGGCGTTGAATTGTTCTCATCATGTTAACAAATCTTTGGTGAGTTACACTTTCAACCCCCCTTACCTGGGGGAGCCAGGTGGATCACATCACCATCGCCCACATAGAGGGCCCAGTGTGAGGAGCCAATGCGGGAAATCTCAATCAGGTCTCCAGGCTTGGGCTCTGCACGAATCTGCAACGAAACAGCCAGGAAGGTGAGACAGATTTCAGGGAGCTGCAGAGGCCCGGGCTGCGAACTGCAGCCGGACCTGTGGAGTCCATGATTACTTAGTATGTTCATCACCTGGTGAGTGTGTGTGTGTGTGTGTGTCTGTGTGTGTCTATGTGTGTGGCGTGGTGGGGTGGGGGGGAACTCTTGGTCCCTTGAACACCTCAGCCTGCTGTAGCTTCTAGAGGTTGCCCTGTGTGGAAGTTGAAGCCTGGAATGCCTTGTTCTGTGCATACATAATGTGTGTGTTGCCTACACACACACTTGGATGCAGACATGCACATGCAGGTGTACTGTGCATGTGGAGGGTGTTGACACCACAGCGGTGTATCAACCCCTTCCTGAGGCTGGGCACCAGGCAACATCAGACATGGGAGTTTGATCCTGTTTGAGCCGCTGACCTGAGACCCAGGGGAAGCCTCATGAAGGACCTGAGATTGCAACGTGTCCTAGAGCGGCTGCCTGTTTCCTGCAGGGACAGGGGCAAGGTTGGGCCTGACACAGTCACACAGCAGGCTCTGCTGGCACATTTTCCCCCATAACAGCCACCTGCCCAAGCCCAGGGGAAGGAAGCAGCACCCCTGCTCAGCTGGGGAAACCAAGGATCAGAGAGGCAGAGGGACTTGCCCAGGGACACTCAGCTGGCAGTGGCTGCACGGGGTCTTCTCTGCCCCGACCCTTCCTGGTCCCCTTTCCTCCTTCCCTTTGCACACCCCCACCTGATCCTCAATGTCCCCGCCCAGCACACCACAGTTTCATGTTCGATAATTTTTCAGTTTTCTTCCTCTCTGTTCCTGATTTCAGGGAATGACAAACCTTCAGCCTCCCTCACCTGAGACGGCCCATTCTGAGACCAGGGTTCAGCTTACCTTTGCCCCTGTTCCATGCCAATATCCAACACCAATGGTCACCCTGGAAGTTTCTCCTGAATTCACGTCCTCCTTCATCTCCCGCCCATGACTTTGGTTAAGGGCGCCCCAGTTATAATTATGTGACCCTACGTTTCCCCGACCAGCCCCTAGACTTCTGTCCCTACCATTACATATCCAGTGTGAACTTCCATGGTGGGGCCATTTGTTCCTGATGGGGGTGGGGAGGGGAGGGGGCTTCCTGCCTGGGCTCGTGGGGACAGAGCTCTGGGGGTGAATGAGGGAATGGCTCTGTGGTCGGGGTTTTCCCTGGGCTCCACCTCTGCATCAGGTGGGAGCTGAGGGGAGACAATGGGAAACCTGGCCTCAGGGATCACTGTGCTCTGTGTACTGTTCCCAAGTGCAGCCTGGAAACTTCTATCTCCAGGCCCACCTCAGCCCTGAAACACTAAACTCACACATCCAACTGCTACTCAACAGGTCCCCCTGGATGTCTAACTGGTCAACTCAACACCCCACCTGAGCAGCAAATCCTCAATTTCCCTCCCAAACCTCCTCCTCCTCTCATCTCCTCCATCCAGGCTGCCCATCACCCAATCACAGGGGCTTTGAGCCCTGGAGGTGCTGTGGTTCATCTGAAAGAGCCGGGAGCACTGGGCATTGAATCCTGCTTCTGCCTCTTACTAGCTGTGTTTT